GGTATTAACTGCTGCTCTATCCACTTTTCAAATAAGTCAGAGGTCATGTCCTCATGATAGTCGGCACATGATTCTTTGATATTTTTGGCAGATAACAGCAAGGCATTAGGTATAAATCCATTTTCACTGCCAGCATGGAGAATAATGATTCGTTTTCCACGGTTGCATGGTGCATTTAAAATGCACTTGTTGCTGTCGTCAACCCAGCCGTACTGCACAACATCATGGGTATCATGCCACGTTTCATCCAGGTAAATCAGATTTCTTTTCTGCTCTCTATAGATTTTAACTTTGTGTAAAAATTCTTGGCGCAATTCAACGATTCGAGACGACTCCATAATCACCATTCTTTTATCTAATTTTTTGTATTGTAAACCACACAGTTTTACAATACAGTGCAGTGAGTCTAAGCATTTGTAATTATAAAAATCTTCAGGATAATCTTTTAATTTATCCCGTATCATTTCCAACGTGGGCACCAAATTTTCTTTATAAAATCCGTATATTATACGACGAATATCTTCCTGAAAACCCACGACTATTCTTTTTAATTTTTGCCCTAGGCGCTTTCTGTGGAAGAAATGGTTGACTACATCTCCCCTTTTTATAACCCGATAAATGGTAGACCGACTGATTTTTGTCAGGATACAAATTCTGTTTAAAATTTGATTTTGCGAGGAATCTGGATTTTCGTTTTTCAGACAATCATACATATTTAGGATTACTCTTTGGGTCTGTTCCTCTAAATCTTTATGAAAGAATTCTGCCTGCACAGGTTCATGAATCATCTCCTCGTGGCTTGGAGCATTTTCCCAAGGTCTCCAAAGAGCCATATTTAGGACACACAAGAACAATCAACACAACAATTAAATCAACAAGTAAACTGAGTATTCAAAAGTCAAAAACACACAAACTAATAAAATCTATGAAAAAACACGGACAGACTAAAGAAAACACGTTTATTCACCGCTACACGGCACTGGCTAAACTGTTTCAATTTTCAGTAGCCACCTGCACTTGTTCGGAGCTCTGAAATACACGCTTTCTCATTGGCCATGTCCACGCATAGGCGTGCTTTACTCCACGTGGACCGGTGAAACTGCCTTTGATCTTATACGGGGGATATTTGCTGCGAAATTTGGCGATTTTTGCAGCAACAGAGCGTGTTAAATATAGATATATAAAACGCACCCGGTATTTCACAGTGTTTCAAGTGACTTCAGATAAAGTACACCTTCCTATCAGACCATTAAATAAATAAATAAATAAGATACTATTATTATTGAATATTATTACCACTATACTGCTGTTCTGCTAGATAGTATTATTCAAGTGCCTAGGATTTCCCGATTGTTTTTCTTACGCCAATCGTACAAACATTAATATTAAACAAAAAGTACTTAACAAGGAAATACTGACCTCAAATCAAGTGAAAATCTCAGAGGTGAGTAAACGCTGGGGAACTACCTTATTCTTAACCGTAATAAATATACATCCTATTGTTATTGTTGCTTCTAAGAATACAAAAATTTCCCGAGGATCTTTTTGGATATTAATATGTGGTAAAAGACGTAATACAGAGTACGTATTTGTAGATAATGAAATAACGGTGCTCAAAGGTTTTGTTATTCGATAAACCTGAACTGAGAAATTTTTGGGTGATCGAGGAACCAAAAAGAAACATCAACAAACAAAAATTACATTATCTTCTCCAAGTGCCGTATCGTCAGTCGTTCCTGTCCTTCAGAAATACTGTTCCATGTCAGCGCTCTATTTGGAGCTTATGTTACAAATATCTATTTGCATCAGAATGTTCATGATTTTGATTTATTTTTAAATCATAAATAACCTCACAATAATAGGAGAGCGCTGACGCTGTCATGGAACAGTAGAAATCTAGAAATACCCAGCATTTCCGAAGGAGAGAAAAGACTACGAAAATCAAGGAGGAAGCCATAAAAGCGTCCTACAATAAATTGTAGAGCGCCTTTATGGCCTCCTGGATTGACATAGTTTTCTACTTTTCCGTGCCAGCGCTCTATTTTGAGATTATGTCACAAATATCTATTTGTATCAAATTGTGCTTGCTTTTGAGTTATATCATGTTTTATCAGCCTGAAATTTCCTAAAATTTAAAAAGCAAACATATCTTCACAATAGGAAAGCGCTGACGCTGACACGGGACAGGTGCAATCTAGTAATTTTTGAAGGAGAGAAAGGAGTATGACAATCAAGGAGGCCATAAACGCGTCCTACAATTGTAGGAACGACTGACGATACGGGCCTTAGTCTTGAATCGTCTAAGCACAACCAGAGTGTTCCAAATTTTTGGAGACTGTTTTCTGATCTGATTCCATAATTATATATGTGGCGATAACATTATAACTTGCAAAAGACCAACTCCATTTTCTCTCTAAAATTTTAATACAGAAAACTGTTCATCAAATTAGCCTTTCTCCTTACCGCAGAAGGTTACTAATAGAACATCTGGTGATCCAGAAAACCGCGTCAAAATATGTGGGTGTGTAAAGTTGTATATACAGTATTATCTATTGTGTTATTGTTTTCAAATGAATTGTTTTACTATCCTTGGTGAATTTTATTGTAGATGCTTTCGAGTTTATATACGTTCCATATCTTTTGTTAGTTTTAAGTTCATTGTCTTTGATGTATTTACTTACTAGATGGTTTTGTGACATGGAGTTAATCTTTCCTGTGAAAAAAACGCAATTTCTTTGTTGAAAACAAGAGACATTAACCACTTGTTTTCTTCTGAGATGAAAATAACGTTATTCAAAGTTAATCCTGTTTACGTCAGAAGATGTATCTCCTGTTATGATCACATTCACTTTTGAAAATAGCCTGTTAATTTTATTTTTTAAATAAGTTGATGTTACTAGTACACCTTTTTTGAATAGAGCTGATTTAGATATAAGGTGTCCAATTTTACTGTTTCCACCTAAATATTTCGAAAACTATGCATCCTAGAATATTTTCAAATAGAACTCTTTTTTACACGGGTTCTGAAAAGAGGAAATTTTAGGTCCGAGTATGACCTTGACTATAACCACTGCAAAGTGAAATCAAGATAATGGTAACAATTTGCCCTGCCAAAAATGTTCGACATCACATTTGTGAGCTTTGTGGGTGTCACCCAAAGGTGATTTGACCGTAGCCTTGATCTTCAAGGTCACATCAAAACTTTACACGTTTAAATATAAAATTTCTTTTTCTTGCTACCGCGGCATAAAAATCGAGAGGTTCCTTACAAATACTCGTAACATTTAAGATTGACAGGACTTTGACTTTGAGGTCAAGATCACATTCGGAAATAATATTTCCTGTTTTTTCCAATTCCATGATAAAATGAGGAGTTTTATTTAGGAATTTACACATGACCTTGAATGCCATGACACCCACAAAGCTAACAACTGTGCTCTCGAACATTTTTGCTATAGCAAATTGTTTTCAATGTCTTGGGCTTGAAATAACATGAAAGGTCATATTTGGAAGTAGAATGTACTCCTATTTTCAATTCCGGTGTAAATATTCACTTGACCTGGAAGGTCATAGTGGAGGTCATGGTCAAGGACCATCATTTTGCCTTCTCGAAGCCCTACAGCTTTTGTTTGTAATTTTTTGTATAGTCCAAAATTGCCAAAAGATGTACAAGAGATCTGCTTGATGAGTGGAGGTAATTATGTTATAAATAAAGCTAGAAAAAATCTCGTGGAAAAATGTTTTCGATGACGAAACAACTTTGAGATTCAGGCATAACCAAACAAATTTTCCACTGCATTGTCTACCGCGTACTTAATAAAATGTACATAGATGCTCGGTGATGTAACATTGGTCTTAAAAATGGGATTAGTTTACATGTTTTGGCACAAGACAATAATAAAATGTACATATATACTCGGTGATATAACGCTGGTCTTAAGAACGAGATTACTAGTACTGACAATATTTGCTTTGAAACAAAAATATGGAAAAATCCGCAAAATATGCGGTCAGGTGCAGGAACATAAGAACAGTTTATTTTCACATTTTTTACTAGCTAATAAACTATATTATTCTTTGGGCAGTCTATATGGGGACACATCCTTTTAGCCTGCAATCTCACACAAATTTACAATTTTTGAAGGATGTAAAGTCGGCAAGTTGGGGCACTTGAATAAGGTAATAAGTACAAATGTTGGTCCATTGCTACTTTATGCTACATCTTCAATCACACAAGTTCATAATGTCCACTCAAATTGGTTGCTAAAACACTCCCATAGGTTATTACTACCGTTAAACTTGCATACGTTAACATATAAATAGTTTCCCGACTAGCTCTATAACCAACAGATGGCCGCTCGTTGCTGCGTCTGTTGTATAAGTGAGCTGATAGCCTCACAAATTATTGTGCGATATTTCCTCTTCGCTTTTGTATTACAACGATTTTACTTTTTTGGGTTCGCTTAATTTCCTCTGTCAGCCATTTCATCATGAACCAAAAATGCGTGAGTGATTTAGTTAAATTATCTCAGATCGCATCGAAAGACAAGTCATCACGGTGACCGCTTGATGCCGACAGTTCTGGCGATAAAGTAGATGATGGTCCAATCGCCACTGAAAAATAATACATAAGTACTCTCGCAGTGGTCTGGCAACAGCAATGACGAACTTTGACGTTAGTTTCAGCTGAACCTGTTGAAGATGATGTTAATGCTTCCGTCCCGGGTCTCATAGATGTGTATATCTCGTATAGGAAACGGAGTGTCGATGTGTACTCAGTAGAAAACCTATATAGCCCTGAATGTTGCGAATTTAGGAGAGAGAGAGAAGAAGAAGTTATCAAATTGTTGCTTTTGAATCGAACGGCTCCAGCTTCGAGAAATAGTTAAGACAGTGGGTACTTTTCTGCAGATGTTTCTTGAGAAAAAAGTCACAAGTATCATAACATCGCGTAATAACTCTTCCATACTTCTAGGTTATGCCCATCCCTTAATCCTTACCTTCTCTATTGAAATTGAACTGCTCCAAATTGATCCCCAAGCAACATCCGCAAATCAGCTGCTGACAGGAGCACCCATTGCTGCGGAACCCAATCCTCCGGATGAGCTTCTTGGTATCCGGTGTCAACGGAAGCTTCCCAAGTTTCTCACCGGATGACGTCGGTATCAACGGAAACTTTCCCGGCTTTTCACCTAACGACATCGGAATTACGTATCGACGGCTATTGGATTTTATATACAGGGTGGCCCATCCATGTGTGGACGGAATATTACTCATAAACAAATACATTTTGGGAAAATCTATTTATGGGATGTTATACATGACATTTGAGGGCACATTTTTGAAATATTGGCCATTATACAGGGTATACAGGCTGTCCCAATTTCGACCTATACAGGGTGACTTTGAAGTTGAGTCATTAATTTTCATATAATGATTGTAGAAGGAAGATAAACCAAAGTATGTGTGTAAAAATAAAAAAAAATTAAAAAAAAATGTTTACCTTGTTTTATAAAGTATCCTCCCGACAAGTATTTCAGTGCGGACCTGTATTTGATCGTGAGGTCCCCTGTGAGGTCTTAAGTCACCTGATTCACGAGCCCTTTGTACTACATTAACAAAGGCACGAGGGGTTGGTTGCACTCGATTGGGAAACCGATCCGCATAAACATGTGCCATTTTTTATTTCGTTTCAGCCACGCAACAGACACTATTCACACGCCTTACCGACTGACACTGACTGTATGTATAACTGAACTGAATAAAATAATTGTAAAAACATCGTTACAAATTCTTTCGCTTTTTCGTTTCCGATGCGATGAACCGATAAGGCGGATTATATCCGTTGTTGCCAAACACGAGCACATGATATTATTATTGAGACAGGGCGGTACTCAAACTTCCAAAGGGCTGTAACTTTGTTACTTTAATTTTACCAGAAAAATGGTAGAGGAAAAAAACATTTCTTTTGATCAGATCTACTCACTGTTAAAATAAATGACTCAACTTCGAAGTCACCCTGTATATCATAGTTGTGATTTTTAAAATATAATGCCCCAAATTTTATTGCATATTTGGATAAACCAATTCAAAAGAAGAAAATTGATATAACATACTATGGGGTTTTGGTAATTAGCTACTGAGATATCAGGAGTTTTGTCTAGAAAAACCACCAATTCGGCAACCCCTCAGTCCGCCATTTCGAAATTTGGTATCAAAAAACGCAATTCTTTAGAAAAATTCATTTTCAAACACGTTTTTATTATAATGATCACAAAGCTAATTATGACTGTAACTAATCAACAATTTATTTTTTTATTTTTATTTGCTTCCAAGGATGATGCGCTTTTTAGGGAATTAAGCCGTTCCATAAAAGACGTGAATAATCGAAAAAATAGCCGTAAAAACCCTTATGTGTCTAGTATCAAAAAAAGCTTATAAAGAGTGATTCCAAACTTGCACAAATATACGGGGTGATGCATTTGAAATTTTTGAGAAAAAGTACAAATCACGTTTTTGACCACCCTGTATGAGCAAAAATGAAGATTCGAAAAAGTAACAAATAAGATAAAAGCTGAGGTCTGTAAGTTTTTTTTGATACAAAATTCAGCACTCGAAATTTCAAACTGGCGGATTGAGGGGTTGCCGAAGTGGAAGATTTTTCTGGACAAAACACCTTACATCTCAGTAGCTAATTACCAAAACTCCATAGTAGTCGTATGTTATATCAATCTTCTTCTTTTGAATTGATTTATCCAAATATGCAATAAAATTTGAGGCATTCCATTTGAAAAATCACAACTATGATATATAGGTCAAAATTGGGACATCCTGTATAATTGCCAATATTTTAGAAATGTGCCCTCAAATGTCATGTATAACATGTCATAAATAGATTTTTCCAAAATATATTTGTTTATGAGTAATATTCCGTCCACACATGGATGGGCCACCCTGTATATTATATAATAATTTATGAACGCTACCTGAAGATAGCTAGCCATATACTGTATTCCGACGTACAAAAAAATCATCAGACTCAAAAATGAGTTTATAAATCCGGTATGAGTGTTTGCTTCTGCTACTATCTCATAGATGGCGCTAGGATTTTCCAAAACCTCTTTGACGATAATGCCTACTTTAATTGGATATATCATCTACGTTAATCAACGGCATACAACTTTTAAGAATATGACTTGTTGGGTTATTTTTGATCCGATTGTCATTATCCTTCTTTGACCAGCATGTGCTATTTGTTATTCAAGTTTGGAATAAGATTTACCATTACAAATGATATTATAAAGGCAAAAGTACGAGAAAAAATTGTTATAATTCATTGGTCTACAAAACGTTTATACTTAGGTTGGTATAAGGTGATCTACCCGAAATGTATTTAGAATCTCGCCTTGATTCCAACAATTAAATTCTATACAGCAATCTGTACAACCGGAAGTGCCATCATTTTGAAAATATACTGAGTGATATAAAGGGTTGTCCAATAGGGACGCAGGAAAGTAAACGTCAATTTGACATAGACGCCATCTTTGTTTTCTGTCACCGACATGTCATTTTGTTAGTTGAATGTTTACCATTGTTCGCTATGATTCGATTGAAGACCGCATTAAAGATATTCAAGAGCACTACAAAAATGGTGCAAAAATAAAAAACACGTTTCGCGCGCTTCGTGAACATTTCGGTCGCAACAACCGCCCAAACGAAACAACCATCGGTCGTCTGGTGCGTAAATTCGAGGCAACAGGTTCTGTGGCAAATATGCCAGGCTCTGGCCGGCCAAGGAGCGTTCGCACACCGGAAAATATTGCTGTTGTGAAGGAGAGTGTGAGAGACGATCCGAAACAATCAACAACGCGTCGATCCCAAGAATTGAGCATTTCGAGAACCAGTTTGCTCCGCATTCTCCACAAGGAATTGAATGTACACGCCTACAAGATCCAATTGACGCAAGAGCTGCGTCGGGCCGACCATTTTTTGCGCCGAACGTTCTCAGATTGGCTCCTTGAACACCGCCAAATTGATGCCAATTTTTCATCAAAAATCATGTTCAGCGACGAAGCGCATTTCACTTTGAATGGGACGGTAAACAAGCAAAACTGCCGCATCTGGGCGAACGAAAATCCCCGTGAGTATCAAGAGCAGCCGATGCATCCTCAAAAAGTGACTGTGGTGTGCATTGTGGTCAAAACGCATCATCGGACCTTACTTTTTCGAAAATGCGGCCGGGGACGCCGTTACCGTCAATTCTGAGCGATATCACGTGATAGAGGACTATTTTTTGCCGCAACTTGAAGGAATGGATATGGACGATGTTTATTTCCAACAAGACGGTGCAACATGCCACACAACCAACGTCAATATCCATCGATTGCAGTCCTTCTTCGATGATCGCGTGATTTAGCGCAGAGGAAATGTGCCATTGGCCACCAAGATCGTGCGATTTGACTCCCTTGGACTTCTTTTTATGGGGATATTTGAAAAGCAAAGTCTACGTCAACAAACCAGCCACCCTCCAAGAACTCAAAAACAACATCATTGCCGAGATAAATGCCATAGAACCGACCATGTTGCAAAATGTCATTGAAAATTTCGACCATCGCGTGGACGTCTGTAAATCCAGTCGTGGTGAACATTTGAGCGATATTATTTTTCATACATAAATGGTATAAATGAACCTTCAAAATAAAGTACCCAACTTGATTTGAATATCAATCTTTTTTGTTTTAATATGCGTTTACTTTCCTGCGTCCGTTTTGGACAACCCCATAGAAAAAACAGCTAGCAATAATGCATTTATTACAAACATTTTCTGTGTATAGGGTGTTTCAAATTCGACCCTCACCATTGGGATCTCAGAAACTGTAAGAGATACGAAGTCGCTTAAATGGGGTAAAATTGCGTATTCAGGTAATCAACAAAATATCGCTTAGAAAGTTTCGAAATTCCAAGTACTTCCGATGAGAGACCGGAAATCCGAATGTTCCCAAAATCGTTTTAGTTTTTTGATGACTTTATTTGTACTGGGATTTTAAAATAAATTGCACATTATCATTGCTCTACGAGAAGGAATAATTAGAATTTCAATATGACGTTTCGTCTTTTGTCCTCTAGCATCAACTTTATTTTTTCTTATAGACGCCGTATTGTATTTTTGCGCAGATGAATAGTTTTTCATTCTGATTTCAAAAATGTACAATACGTCACATTGCCAAACCTTAGTTATTAGAAATAAGCAGAATTACCTAGGAAGGCCTGGAAATTATCAGATATTCATTTGTTTCGCGTACCAGATTTATCCCCAAATCTCTTTTATTTTTTCCTGACTCTATTTGAGATGGAATTTCAAAATACATTGCATGTTCTCCTCAACAAGATGGCGTAGTAAAATTTTCAATTCGACATTTATTTTTTCGATTTGTATCTCCAACTTCGCTTTTTCATATGGACGCTATATTGAAATTTTTTACATTCAAATGGACTTCTTAGTCCTAAATTGAGTGATTTATTTCATTAGTTATCCATGAAGTTGCTGTTGGATGGAAATTATAAGGAAATAAAAATATATGATGAAATCTGAACACAAAATGGAAATTGTATTGATGACAATAACAATAATAATCATAAATAAGCGGAGATAAAGCATTGCAGAGCTTCAAAATATTGTCTGTTATTCTGAAGGCAAAGCCTGACTCTACTTTGTATACTAAGTGACATATAAATCCGAACACCCAGTTTAAATGGTTTTATTTTAATAAAAGTTGGTGACTGTATTTATCTTACTGTAAATAACATGTGAAAAAATGTGCAGCCTTATCAGTTGGACATTCCGGTTTTTATACTGCTTTTTTTCAATTCACTAACGCTCTAAAAATGAATATTTCAGCCGCAGTAAAGAATCAACGTTGGCGGATTTTGGTTCTTGACATCCTTTACGATCGGTTACGATGCCTAGAGTACGGAGACCTGTACGATTTCGTCAACTTAGTTAGTTTGATAGGGGCCGTATAGTGGGACTTCGGGAAGCTGGACTTTCTTTTCGGGCAATTGCAGTTAGAGTGCAAAGAAGTGTAGACACTGTGGTTAGGTGTTGTCAGGCATGGCTTCGAGAAGGCCGTACACAAAGAGCAAGGGGCACTGGACGCCGCCGTAGAACAACAGACCGTGAAGATCGCCGCCTAAGATTATTCGCCTTAAGGGACCGTTTCTCCACTACCAGGTCCATTCCAAATGAATGGTTTGCAGAACACGGAAGACATATTGGCATGCGAAGTGTTTACCGACGAATGAGAAGTTTTGGCTTGTTTTCATACCGGCCACACTGGGTCCTCCCTTTAACTCGAGAACACCGACGTAATCGCCTTGAGTGGTGCAGACAACGGTCACTCTGGGATCAGGAATGGAACAGTATTGTCTTTAGTGACGAGTCTCGATTTTGTTTAGGCATGCACGATGGTCGTGCCAGGGTTAGAAGGCGACGTGGTGAAAGGAGGAATCCACAGTTTTTTGTTGAAAGACATGTTCATCACACTGTTGGAGTTATGGTTTGGGGTGCTATAGCTTATGGTTCCAGGTCACCTTTAAACTTCATCGGAGGTAACATGAACGCGCAGCGTTATATCCACGAAGTTCTAGAACCCCATCTTTTACCCTATCTTGACACCCTGGCAGATCCAACTTTCCAACAAGATAATGCCCGACCACATGTTGCAAGAGTCACAATAGACTTCTTTCAACATAATGATGTCACATTGTTACCATGGCCACCAAGATCTCCCGAATTATCCCCAATTGAGCACGTGTGGGATATGATGGGTAGGAGATTGCTCAATTTGCAACGTCCTCCTCAGACTCTAGAAGCACTTCGAGAGGAGTTGGTGGTTGCCTGGAATGAGATACCACAGGAGGACATTGACCACCTGATCAGAAGCATGCCTAGGCGCATTGGACAATGCGTAGCACATCAGGGTGCATCCACACATTATTAAAGGTCAAAGGGCTTTGAAGCAGTGCAATCATTTTGAAATTTTTATCATTTACTTATTATGCTTCATTAAGTACTTATAAAAAATTTTATTAAAATAAAACCATTTAAACTGGGTAATCGGATTTATATGTCACTTAGTATATTTCTGTCTGCATAAGACACCGTGGAGGCCCAACATACTATTAATTTTTTACATTTTTTCAACGGTTGGATTTTTCTGAAATTTTGATTACTTACGTAGCCCTAAAATGTACTAAAAAATTATTATTACTCAGCGTTATTTTTTCTATGCCACTTAGTATATGTTCTTTAGCGGAATTGCTCCCATCAGTTATAATAATTTTCGTAACCGTCAACTTGAGAGTAACTCTCCGTTACAGGTCTACGTGGGACACCCTGTATAATAGGTATATCGGTATCGTTCGATGCCTAATCGGAATCAGAGATTCTCACCGAAAGTCGAAGGAATCAGGGGAAACTTTCCAGGTCTTTCGCCAGATGTCGCAATTTTCGTCTTAGTTGATGTGGGGGCGTATTGATTTTTCTTGCCATCCGCCTGCATGAGGTTCTCGATTGAGGTTATACGCCAACGTTGTTTCGTCTTCGGGTCATAGTAGGCGACCGAAGGCCAACTTGACTCGATGTCTTCTTCTCTTTCTGCATCTGCAAACACAGACGATGCACGTGCTGATGGTGACGTCAGTGCCGTCATACTACAGAGGTGAGCATTTTTTAAAATCGTATTTCTAAGCATGCATTATCAGTGTATTCATACCTATCTCCAAAAATCACTGGACAACAAATTTTAATTTTTTAATTGTATCTTGCGGGAAAAGTGCACTTCTTTGTTAATTTTGGGGCGCTGAATCCAAAAATGACAGTGAAATAAAAAAATTAGTTGCGGTTTAGAAAAAAAACTTTTATTTTTAAGGATATATTAAAAAAGTAACAAGATTCATATACTTATAAGAATCACTATATGCGCTGTCTTTTTGCTGTTCTTTTATGGATCGTTTCTGGAGCATCTCTACCAAGAGTCCAACAGTAGTCTGCAAGCATGGAAGGATTCCACTTTCCCTGGTACCTTTTTTCCATTGTTGAAATATCCTGATGAAAACGTTCGCCGTGCTCATCACTTACGGCTCCGCAATTGTCAGGAAAAAAGTCCAGGTGTGAGTGTAGGAAATGTATCTTAAGAGACATATTACAGCCCATCTTTTGATACGATGACAGAATATTTTAGACAAGGGTTTTATAGTTGTCAGCTTTTCTATTTCCCAAGAAATTAGTGACCACCAGACGGAAATCATTCCAAGCAGTTTTTTCAATACCTGTTAAAGTGTTTTCAAACTGTGTATCTTTCAAAATATTTCGAATCTGTGGCCCAACAAAAATACCGTCTTTAACCTTTGCCTCACTTAGTCTTGGAAATTTCTGACGCAGGTATTGAAAAGCTGACCCATCTCTAACTAATGCCTTGACAAAGTTTTTCATTAGGCCCAACTTGATATGCAGTGGTGGTAATAAAATTTTTTTCGAATCTACTAATGGCATATGCTGTACATTTTTTTGACCTGGCTCTAGGAATTGACGAACAGGCCAGTTTTGTCTGGTGTACTGAAGTGCCTTTGCCCGACTGTCCCATTCACACAAAAAACAGCGAAACTTTGTGTAGCCTAGCTGCAGCCCAAGTAAAAGTGCAACAACTTTCAAATCGCCACAAATATGCCATTGGTGCTCATCGTATTTTATGCATGTCAATAGGTACTTCATATTGTCATATGATTCTTTCATGTGAACTGCATACCCTACAGGAAGAGATGGTAAAATATTTCCAATATGCAATAACATTGCCTTTAAACTCAATGTTGAACTGTCTATAAACAATCTCCATTCTTCTGGGTTATAGTTTATATTTAAAGCCGCCAGTAAGCCGTTAATGTTACTGGAGAAAACCAAGTTATTCTCCATATTGAAAAATGGTTCTAAGTCTTTGTGGCGTTTACGAAAAACACATACCGAAACATCGTCTTCTAACAAGTTCCACTGCTGCAGTCTTGATCCAAGTAACTCTGCCTTACATTTTGGAAGTTCTAAATCTCTTACAAGATCATTTAATTCTGACTGTGTTATTTTGTGCGGTTGGTGGCATGACGTGCTCGGTATAAAATCTCTTGACGTTGATGGCATATCTTCTTCCTGACGAATCACTCGATCGCCATGATCTGATTCGTTTTCTGATTCGCAAGTGTAGGATTCTGGGGGTTTTGGAATAGGATATTTGTCACTGTGAGGCACAGGTCTCATTGCAGATGGTATGTTTGGGTAGTTAATAACCGATTTTTTTTTTTTTTGAAAAAACCTGTGGCTTGTCCAACACAAGGTACCATGCAAAAGTAACAATCATTAATATGATTTGTAGGCTCTCTCCAAACCATTGGGACAGCAAAGCGCATATACCGTTTTTTGCATTTAACCAGCTCCTCAGACTTGAAGCACATGTATTACAGCAGATGTGGGGTGCCCACTGTTTGTCTTGATCACCTAGTTTACAACCGAAATAAAGCTGATATGCCTTTGTTATTAGTGGAGTAATAGACCGTCTCTGAGACGCAAAAGTCACATCACCACACACGTAACAAAACTGATCTGGATGGTTTACACACTTTCGAGACATCTTGCATGAACGCTGTCAGCCCACTGAAGAAAAAATGGCTAATATAAAACAATATAATGTACACGTATCTATAACGTAACACAATCGTGCCGATTACATCATCTTTCCTTGCCGAATATAAAAATGTAGCACGTGCATTCTTGTGAATTACAGTATATTAACACTGTCACAGCAGGAATACATATAATTACCGTATCTCTAAAACTTGAACTAATATTGAAAAAATAAGTTTCATTCCGGTTTTAGCACATTAGAAATAGTAATATTTTGTTGATTTGATTTAGGATATTTTTTGGCTGTTGATCAGTGATATTAAAAGCCTAAATATATTTTTATAATCTTTCCCTCTTTGAAGCTCGACGCACCTCAAGCTAAGATCCTCTGACTTGCGCTATAGCTACTGCAGTGAATAACGTTGCTTATATTATTTATTGTTCTTCAAAACCTTATCCGTCAAAAACTGTTGTTCTAATTCACTATTACCATAACACTTTATAGGAGTTTGAAAAATATTAATGGTCTCAATGATCTAAGTTCGTTTCGAAGAAAATTTCACACTAGTGACGTCATCACGATTCTCGGTATAATTTGTATGACGTCATCGACATTTGAATCGCTTCTACAAATTTTAATTGCATCGTAAGAAAACACAGATTCAAAGGTTGTCAATAAATCCAATATTAAAGATGAGACTCAGGCTATCAAAAAATGGTGTCAAGTAGGTTGACTCTGAACCTTTCACGCAACGCTGTTATCACTTCATAAAGGCTTATGTTAAGTCTAAGCGATTTTGTCTTTTTTCGTTTTGGTCCATTTTCTCTGCCGCCACTGGTTACCGATTTTCAACCACTACAAAGCTTTTGCGTCCGTAGTATAGTAGTAACATTGTGTCTAAATTTCATCGGAATCTGAGCGGTACTTCTCGAATTATAGGCAGTTATAAGACTATCGGATAGATTGACTGACAGAACGACGGAAATCAGGGACATGATTTTTCGTGATGTGCATGTCATAGAACATCCAAAAAACATATGACTTTTGAGTTGTTCCTCGCCAGTAGGCGTGGGAAGTAAAAAATACATTTATTTAAAGCGCTAGATCATACGTTTTCAAATTTATAATTATTTGAGGACTTACTTAAAAAAAGGGTTCAAGTAATTTTACATTTAGAAACCTGATTTGTTTAAGTTTTTAGAACCTATTTTTTAAACCTGTTTCTTGACAATTGATGTATGGAGAGTACTCGTTTCACAGATACTTTTGACTTCTATATAATCTTTTTGAATTCATAAATACAAATTTGAAACCGATTATGAATCAAGCAAAGTCAAATTCATTTCAAGGTGAAGGTGTAGATATACTAAGTGACATATAAATCCGAACACCCAGTTTAAATGGTTTTATTTTAATAAAATTTTGTATAAGTACTTAATGAAGCATAATAAGTAAATGATAAAAATTTCAAAATGATTACACTGCTTTAAAGCCCTTTGACCTTGAATAATGTGTGGATGCACCCTGATGTGCTACGCATTCTCCAACGCGCCTAGGCATGCTTCTGATCAGGTGGTCAATGTCCTCCTCTGGTATCTCATTCCAGGCAACCACCAACTCCTCTCGAAGTGCTTCTAGAGTCTGATGAGGACGTTGCAAATTGAGCAATCTCCTACCCATCATATCCCACACGTGCTCAATTGGGGATAAGTCGGGAGATCTTGGTGGCCATGGTAACAATGTGACATCATTATGTTGAAAGAAGTCTATTGTGACTCTTGCAACATGTGGTCGGGCATTATCTTGTTGGAAAGTTGGATCTGCCAGGGTGTCAAGATGGGGAAAAAGATGGGGTTCTAGAACTTCGTGGATATAACGCTGCGCGTTCATGTTACCTCTGATGAAGATTAAAGGCGATCTGGAACCATAAGCTATAGCACCCCAAACCATAACTCCAACAGTCTGATGAACATGTCTTTCAACAAAAAACTGTGGATTCCTCCTTTCACCACGTCGCCTTCTAACCCTGGCACGGCCATCGTGCATGCCTAAACAAAATCGAGACCCGTCACTAAAGACAATACTGTTCCATTCCTGATCCCAGAGTGACCGTTGTCTGCACCACTCAAGGCGATTACGTCGGTGTTCTCGAGTTAAAGGGAGGACCCAGTGTGGCCGGTATGAAAACAAGCCAAAACTTCTCATTCGTCGGTAAACACTTCGCATGCCAATAGGTCTTCCGGGTTCTGCAAACCATTCATTTGCAATGGACCTGGTAGTGGAGAAACGGTCCCTTAAGGCCAATAATCTTAGGCGGCGATCTTCACGGTCTGTTGTTCTATGGCGGCGTCCAGTGCCCCTTGCTCTTTGCGTACGGCCTTCTCGAAGCCATGCCTGACAACACCTAACCACAGTGTCTACACTTCTTTGCACTCTAACTGCAATTGCCCGAAAAGAAAGTCCAGCTTCCCGAAGTCCCACTATACGGCCCCTATCAAACTCACTAAGTTGACGAAATCGTACAGGTCTCCGTACTCTAGGCATCGTAACCGATCGTAAAGGATGTCAAGAACCAAAATCCGTCAACGTTGATTCTTTACTGCGGCTGAAATATTCATTTTTAGAGCGTTAGTGAATTAAAAAAAAGCAGTATAAAAACCGGAATGTCCAACTGATAAGGCTGAAAATTTTTTCACTTGTTATTTACAGTAAGATAGATACATTCACCAACTTTTATTAAAATAAAACCATTTAAACTGGGTGTTCGGATTTATATGTCACTTTGTATAATTACATATCCCTGGACCACACAAGTTTATTTTGGAAATTAGGAGTATTTTTTTATAAGTTTTTATCACTATTTATGTTAATGTTTTTTAGTATTTGTTGCTGTTTAACTGACTTCATGCGTTTAATTTCTCGTAGTACATGTTCGTAACTGACTTAAGAGCGAAGGATTTAAATTCCGATTCACTTTTTTATATACCGAAGCAGTCGCGCAGGCAGAAGAGAGAGAGCCAGAAAAGAAATTTTGTTAATACGATTTTTGAACTGCCTAAGGTTAGTAGAACTGGGAAAAGCCTTCTCTTGTAGATTGTTCCTCAATCTCGACGCCCTCGGGACAAAGGAGCTGTCGTATCGGCCAGTTCTTGATGTACGAAGTTCGACACGGTTAGAATGGGAGGCCAAAGTCAGGCGGGTCGTCGCTAGTCTTCTTTTTTCCAGCTCAGGAAAGGAGGTCGTTGTTATTTAAGAGGAACAGTGTCGGAGCCAAGACCGATCCCTGGGGAACACCCGCGTTAACGTTGTAGGATGAAGAGGAGAACCCGTCAGTTACGCCGGATAGTCAGCCACCCATCTGTAAAGCTTTTCTGGGAGGCCATAGGATGAAAGTTCGCTTAAGAGGGCAGCGTGCCACAGCTGATCGAACGATTTCGTGACGTCAAGAGCAACGACATGAGCCTCACCATAAGACTGGATGAGTTTACTCCACAATTGCGTGACGTAAGCTAGGAGGTATCTGTGGATCGCTGGTGCCGGAAACCATACTGCTTGCAGCTAATCAAGCTGTGACGTTCGAGGTAGTCCAGAAGCTCTCGATTTATGCACTTCTCCACCACCTTACTTATAAACAGAAAGCAGAGCTATCGACCTGTAGTTGTAAGGGTCGGTCTTAGATCCTGTTTTTTGAGATGGGTTGGACATGAGCAAATTTCCAGTTTTCTGGGAAGGTGCCGGATTCATAAGGTATATCTGGAAGAGATGCGAAAGTACTGGAGCAAGCTCCGCTGCACGTGTCTTCAGTACAATGGCAGAAATCAAGTCCGGACCAGAAGCTTTGTTGATGTCGAGCGACAAGAGCACTCGTCTTACGGTCTTATGCCTGAATGTTACCTCCCGCATAGTGTAGGGAACCCTTTCAATTGACGGTACTTGGGCGTTTGGGGGGGGGACCATGGTGGAGTTGGCAGCAAAGATCTTGGCAAGCACTTCCGGCTCGGCCTTAGAGTCGGATACTACGTTCCATGCTGACACGTAGGTGATGGAAGGCTACTGTGCGAGAAGTTCTTTTCAATCTGCCTGGCCAGCGTCCAGAAAGACCTACTGCCATTACGCTGCGACATTACCTTATGTCTAACTTTTAATTCGTACTGGTTTTTGGCATTTTGAACCGCTTCGTTATATTTGTTTCTGGACTCGACGTCGGCTTGTCTGTTCTCTACAGTGGGGTTTTGTAAGAAGGTTTTGTGTGCCTTGATCTTCTGCTGACGAACAGTGTCACACGATTTGTTAAATCAGCCGTTGGACCCTTGTTTTAGTCACTTTCACTGTATGAGCCCATCCGATTCGGCATGTCCGTAATGCCAAGTTTTGCGGCCTGTACCAGCTTCTGCTTCTGTAAGGGAGAGCATGCGTGCTCAGAAAGAGATCCAGCAGGCTACTGGCATGTGACGAGCAAGAACAAACGCGTGGACTGCTCGACCTGCTGCATCGGTCTTGTTTGAGCCCAACCAAAGCTCATTATGGGCATTGAAATTACCGAGAACAACTACCTCTGAAGCGGGGTGATTAACGTTCAAGAAGTTGATCTTGACGGCGAGGTATTGAAGTAGGTCATCCCAGTGATGGTCCGAGGGAGAGCGATAAAGGCAGCAAATAAATTTGGGGGATGTTTTGGAGTTGATCCGAAGCCATAGAATGTCCTTCCGATCTCATTCCAAACAAACTTCTCTGGAGCAGGAAATACTGCTGCGGACAAAAGCCACAACTTACCCGTTTTTCTCAGATTAGAGTGCACCTCATAATTTGGGATGCTAGGATGGTTAATCGGTGCACACTCTGCGATTTTTGTCTCCGACAAGAAAGCATGGCGGGACGATTGGATGAAAGTGATGAACAGCATCAATGTTGCTTAATCCTTTATGAACTTATGACGGCGTTGCGTAAGAATTGCAGAGCTAAACTGCATTGTTTTACGATTAACTGGTTTAATTGACGCGACCATATACAACCAGATGTTTGATATAAACTGTATAAAAATGCAATTACCTTATTGTTCTATCCATAATTCAAATGAGTGAGAATATCCGAGATGTAACTGCTGTTTTTAAAGTAACACAAATTAATTATTCACACAGTGGTGACACATACATAAGCAACACCTTTTTTTCAGTTATTTTCTATCACCAGTGACCTTATACAAAACAGAATTCCCAGATTCGAAAAGCATTTTATGGCAAATGGAGATCCATAGCTCCAATTTCCGACAATTGACTGTCGGCAGTTATGTGTCACCATACATTCTCTGTAAACGATGTCCTGATTTCGATATTTGGGAAGTCTTGTGGGGTTGTAGCGGGTGAAGATTTTTCAAACGTTGATTGCTGTTGTTTTGGGTGCAGTTAAGGATGTTTTCCGTAAGAATACCTTCTTTAAAATTATCAAGCATCAGGTTATATTTTTTGGATGTTACATAACTTGTAAATCACTAAAGCCAATGCCAGTCATCAGTATGTTTGTCTGTTTTCTGTCCGGCAATACTTGACCCTCTATAACTTTATAAGTGCTGGTCGGAATTCGATAGAATGTTGAGGGTTTGAAAAACCGGTGAAGGTACGAGTAGAGTTTCAGGACATACTCGATATTTTTTATGTTTCTGATAATTTTTGGGCATGACCTAACATTTGTTGTTGCGTCATTTTAAAAAATCTTTTTTCGACGCTTTTCACTTTAAGATCATTTTAGGGCGTGCCAAGACCCAATCTTTATCGAATTGCGGCTATGGCATTTCAAAAAAAAAAATATATCGAGTTTTGTTATTCCACGAGTCCACACTGTTATTGTGGATAAGTTGAACAAATGATTTCGATTCGAAAAATTGTATTACGTCATTTGGAAACTCCCAATTCATTTGTATTGCTATCTTTTTTAACATCTCGCTGGTTCTATCGACCTTTCTCACCGAGTAAACGGCCTGCCTTGATCTTGAAAGAACTTTGTTTCCAAATGGCCATTATCAAGTCGCAGAGGAATAAAACCTGATTAGGTATGCGGGACCTGAGTTGAATATCGATCAGCATCTTTTAATGTATGCATTATGTGGCTCGGGGGATTTTTGCTGATGAACTACCGTGTAAATTCAAACACTACTTAAAAAAGCCTTTGTTTCTTCGGTATTATTAAATCTCTAAATTAATATTTACGCTGCTGGTTTGATCTTTCTTGCACCGCAGTATTACAGCTTATATGATTCAATTTTTTAACTTCAGCAGTGAAATAAGAAAGTACATGGAAGAATGCGTTTTGACATAATGAATCTGGATTTCAAACTCACCCTTCAATGCAGCAAAGTTAAAGAAAACTACACAGATAGTAACCAGTAAGATACAGACCCGCATATCTCAGCTTTGAGTTTAGCCACTGACGAGGAACAAAATGCAAGAACTGGATGGAGAAAAAAGAAAAGAGTACGACTTCGAAACATTAAGCACCAACAGAGACGGCGTTAGGCCAATACGACACTATAACACTATGGATCTCAGCTTAAACGAGAATGAAGCTTTAGGAATGTTTTGGCTGCATATGGGAATCTGCAGCCTGTATACCTTATTTTTTAATATCAGAAAAGTTTTCTCATGGAAAATGGCTTTAATGGGTAAATTAGTTGAAATTTTGAATACACGTAGTTTTTAACATAAAGTCCCAATGGGGCCAACCCCCAGAAACCCTCACGATTATTGATAGATATGGAGGATACGTTTCATAACATTCATTTCAAACTAATATTATCAAAGCAGAAGTAAAGCATACCTGTTGTTAGCATTTATGTCAGACAGACCAATAGTGAACTTGGATTTGACCTTGAAAATAATAGACCAAACGCAATACTCAATACGATGTACCGTTGACACAACACTGAAAGTTTGATAAATGAGACGTCCACTTTGATCCACTGTTTTTTTATATAAAACCTGGCACATACGATTTAGCGTTTTTTATGTCCTGTCATACCATTTTTATAAGTTTTCATATATTTAACTTGAAATGTTTGTTAGTATGTACAAATGTACTAAGTGACATATAAATCCGAACACCCAGTTTAAATGGTTTTATTTTAATAAAAGTTGGTGAATGTATTTATCTTACTGTAAATAACAAGTGAACAAATTTTCAGTCTTATCAGTTGGACATTCCGGTTTTTATAGTGCTTTTTTTTAATTCACTAACGCTCTAAAAATGAATATTTCAGCCGCAGTAAAGAATCAACGTTGGCGGATTTTGGTTCTTGACATCCTTTACGATCGGTTACGATGCCTAGAGTACGGAGACCTGTACGATTTCGTCAACTTAGTGAGTTTGATAGGGGCCGTATAGTGGGACTTCGGGAAGCTGGACTTTCTTTTCGGGCAATTGCAGTTAGAGTGCAAAGAAGTGTAGACACTGTGGTTAGGTGTTGTCAGGCATGGCTTCGAGACGGCCGTACGCAAAGAGCAAGGGGCACTGGACGCCGCCGTAGAACAACAGACCGTGAAGATCGCCGCCTAAGCTTATTGGCCTTAAGGGACCGTTTCTCGACTACCAGGTCCATTGCAAATAAATGGTTTGCAGAACACGGAAGACCTATTGGCATGCGAAGTGTTTACCGACGAATGAGAAGTTTTGGCTTGTTTTCATACCGGCCACACTGGGTCCTCCCTTTAACTCGAGAACACCGACGTAATCGCCTTGTGTGGTGCAGACAACGGTGACTCTGGGATCAGTAATGGAACAGTATTGTCTTTAGTGACGAGTCTCGATTTTGTTTAGGCATGCACGATGGTCGTGCCAGGGTTAGAAGGCGACGTGGTGAAAGGAAGAATCCACAGTTTTTTGTTGAAAGACATGTTCATCACACTGTTGGAGTTATGGTTTGGGGTGCTATAGCTTATGGTTCCAGGTTACCTTTAATCTTCATCAGAGGTAACATGAACGCGCAGCGTTATATCCACGAAGTTCTAGAACCCCATCTTTTACCCTTTCTTGACACCCTGGCAGATCCAACTTTCCAACAAGATAATGCCCGACCACATGTTGCAAGAGTCACGATAGACTTCTTTCAACATAATGGTCACCAAGATCTACCGACTTATCCCCAATTGAGCACGTGTGGGATATGATGGGTAGGAGATTGCTCAATTTGCAACGTCCTCCTCAGACTCTAGAAGCACTTCGAGAGGAGTTGGTGGTTGCCTGGAATGAGATACCACAGGAGGACATTGACCACCTGATCAGAAGCATGCCTAGGCGCGTTGGAGAATGCGTAGCACATCAGGGTGCATCCACACATTATTAAAGGTCAAAGGGCTTTAAAGCAGTGCAATCGTTTTGAAATTTTTATCATTTACTTATTATGCTTCATTAAGTATTTATACAAAATTTTATTAAAATAAAACCATTTAAACTGGGTGTTCGGATTTATATGTCACTTAGTATACATTCACCAACTTTTATTAAAATAAAACCATTTAAACTGGGTGTTCGGATTTATATGTCACTTAGTATATTTAAAGTGTGAGTATTAACAACAATACAATCAACAATTCAAGTGAGTATTTTTGCAAAATTTCTGAACATTATTTACACTTGATTATTATACGTTTTTACTGCATCAGTGTCAGGGTTATGTAATCCAATGTTAATTCTAATGGGAATCCGGTATAAATTATGTGATTGTTTCATAGCCGTGCACATCATGTGTATCAGAATTTTTGAATTTCATTTTTGTCGGTTATTTAAAATTTTGAAAATCAATTTACAATGTTCTAATTCCAACGACTCACCTAGTTAAATAACGTTCAATTGTGCCTACCTACTATTCGTGTTGGCAAGTCGATCATAGTTGAACGAAATTGTTAATATTCTATTTTGTGAAACTTGTGTTTTGTGAAATTCACCGTCATCTCTACGACATGGATATAAAATGAAAGGGTTTGATGCAAGAACCACAATTTTACATATCCCATCGTCATCCCTACGATATGGGTGTCAACTAGAAGTGCGGGATGAGAGAAACACAATAAGCAGAGTGACGTCATTCGACATCCAATATGGCGGCATTCGCAAAATGGTGGTTCACAGTTCACAATTACCCTTATTATATGAGGTTGTCCAAAGAAAGATTGATATTCAAATCAAGTTGGGTACTTTATTTTGAAAGTTCATCCATACCATTTATGTATGAAAAATAATATCGCACAAATGTTCACCACGACTGGATTTACAGACGTCCACGCGATGGTCGAAATTTTCAAATGACATTTTGCCACATGGTCGGTTCTATGGCATTTATCTCAATGATGTTGTTTTTGAGTTCTTGGAGGGTGGCTGGTTTGTTGACGTAGACTTTGCTTTTCAAATATCCCCATAAAAAGAAGTCCAAGGGAGTCAAATCTCACGATCTTGGTGGCCATGGCACATGTCCTCTGCGCGAAATCACGCGATCACCGAAGAAGGACTGCAATCGATGGATATTGACGTTGGTTGTGTGGCATGTTGTACCGTCTTGTTCCAAATAAACATCGTCCATATCCATTCCTTCAAGTTGTGGCAAAAAATAGTCCTCTATCATCACGTGATATCGCTCAGAATTGACGGTAACGGCGTCCCCGGCCGCATTTTCGAAAAAGTAAGGTCCGATGATGCCTTTTGACCACAATGCACACCACACAGTCACTTTTTGAGGATGCATCGGGGATTTTCGTTCGCCCAGATGCGGCAGTTTTGCTTGTTTACCGTCCCATTCAAAGTGAAATGCGCTTCGTCGCTGAACATGATTTTTGATGAAAAATTGGCATCAATTTGGCGGTGTTCAAGGAGGCAATCTGAGAACGTTCGGCGTGAAAAATGGTCGGCCCGACGTAGCTCTTGCATCAATTGGATCTTGTATGCGTGTACATTCAAATCCTTGTGGAGAATGCGGAGCAAACTGGTTCTCGAAATGCCCAATTCTTGGGATCGACGCGTTGTTGATTGTTTCGGATCGTCTCTCACACTCTCCTTCACAACAGCAATATTTTCCGGTGTGCGAACGCTCCTTGGCCGGCCAGAGCCTGGCAGATTTGCCACAGAACCTGTTGCCTCGAATTTACGCACCAGACGACCAATGGTTGTTTCGTTTGGGCGGTTGTTGCGACCGAAGTGTTCACGAAGCGCGCGAAACGTGTTTTTTATTTTTGCACCATTTTTGTAGTGCTCTTGAATAACTTTAATGCGGTCTTCAATCGAATACGACTCCATAGCGATCAATGGTAAACATTCAACTAACAAAATGACGTGTCGGTGCAGAAAACAAAGATGGCGTCTATGTCAAATTGACGTTTACTTTCCTGCGTCCCTATTGGACAACCCTTTATAAGTATCGAATAAAAGGACTTAGATTAGGAAGTTATAAAGAAATTACCACGCTAGTTCGTTGACATGAATACTAAAAAGTAAAAAATAAACGAAACAAAAAATACATTTTTAAAAACAAGCATTCATTTAGCTAATCATAAAATGAACCTAAAATTTAACAATTTTTTTTTCAGATTGGAAATATTAAAACGATAATGAATGAAAAATTATTTGTAAAATTTCAGGTCATTAAACGCTAAATAATCGCTGGTTTTTAATTTTTTTTTTCAAATTTTACTTGTTATCTGTACAGAATTCTCTAATTTTTTGAGACCAGGTTTTTGCACCGTTTCAATTAGGACACCGCTGTCGAAAGACACTAAATTCATCCTTAAATTAATTTGTAGTCCGATCCTGGGTAGAAACGTGCGAAAAGAAACCAGTACGGTATTTAAATTACGCACATTATGTGACTGAGGATGATAGTACAAATGAACTTTTTATTGGTTTTTAAGCGTAGCGGGAACGCGTTCTAAATATAAACAATAGAATACTTTCGAGTATTGATAAACATACTGGTTTGTTATAATATTATCCAGCGGCCCATCTAATACGTTCATCGCTAGTCACAGATTATTGCTATGTAAACACTTCAAAACCAGAATCAATCTTACGGATGACTCGGAAAGACGCTGTCACTTTGTTGAAACCATCAAATACACTTAAGATCTTGGCTCAAAGTGCACGTGTAGGAATATTCCTTAAAAATTACCCTGAAGTTTCACTGAAGAGAATTCTGGCACACGCGCACAAAGATCCTGAAGGATAAAGCTAAAACAATTTCATTGAAGCGAAGTGAAACTAGAAGCTCAAGTCTATGTACGTAAAAAGTGATCAATAATAATTATTTATACAGGGTGTCTGCGAAAGGTTAGGAAATCTCGAAACTACAGACCAAAATCTTAGTAGCGTTGCTATGGTTTCTAATGTTTGTCATTTTAAACTTCATGAATAATATTAAATTGACAATAAGTTGTTAAA